CGACGTGACTACTGAGCCGCGCGAAAAACATTTTTATTCACGATCGCGGACGTTTTTCATTGGCATGATTATTTTAAGTAATCTAACTTAACTTATTCAGAATCTGATTGATCTGGAGGCTTCACTCTCTGATGAATGCACTGTCGAGGTCCAATAATTATTTCCAGTCAATGGACGTCGCGATACAATACTATCTTTTCCAATAATCAACTTTCTATTTTTTCCACGTGCTTGCAAAATCCTGCCATTCCTGCAAGTGGTGACCTCGTTGTATTGCAGTTCAATGTTTTCTTGCAACTTGAGTAAACTGACATATTCACCGTACATTCGCTCCCTAAATATTCTGCTTACTCTCGCTCAGCAATGTTCATCTCACACATGTAATTGGGTTCATCTCATGCACAGTATGGGAGGGAGTCGTACAACTGTATGTCCGTGTGCTGCTAGCACCTCATCGATCTTGTAACTGCTTAGGCCCTGGTTTGAAAGGTGCAATTAATCAGGTACAGAATCAGTCCTAACTGCATGAGTTCTCACAATGCACTCCCTTTCTGTTGAACTATAAGCAATCATGTCAGCTTTTCTTGAGTATGCGGGGACGGCGTTTTGTTGACTTCAATACTGTGTATGAGCATTGTAAGGATTCCATCTTCTCAATTAATGCCGTTCATTTGGTCGTGTAAGTTCCCACAGGACTACTAGCTCGAAAGATTAGACACGTGCGCAAAGAAACTCGCATTTCTCCCCCTGCAATGAACAATTAATTAGTCTACTTTGTGGCATTTCCCATCACTTTGACAACCAACAAAGTTATCACACTGCCAGCACTTTTTGAAATCTAAGGGTGTTATCACACGCCATGTCTGATCCGCCAAGATGATATCTCGGTCTCTCTTAGAAATTGTTTCCACTGAACAAGATCTGGAATCTCAATCCCTATGTCCCGGTCTCTCTATCACACCCCCGCTTTAGATTGGCACCTTTTCATTTAAAAACCTCATTGATTTCATAACACGCAATCAAGATATCTGGGCCCAAGGAATTTAATTTTGCCCTTAATAATTTGGAGAAGCCACCGTCGGCACTACTTCTCTCATGTAGAAATCCAGAATCGTTTCTAGACACACAGGTCAAAACTATCTCCATGGACAGAATGTCACGTGCCCCAGGAGACTTACTTCCGATTTGGGTTATTTCTCATTCCTCTTTTATTGTCTTTCCGAAATGGCTTTTGATGGTGGTGAGTCTAATTCCTGTGTATTCGGAGGCTCTTCACTCGCTTCCATTAAAACGTAAAATTTAAAAATGTATCTTCTTTCTCTATCACATATTTCAATCACACCGGACAATGATTTCGGCGACCTCGCTGTTAGGTAGTATTAGTAACTTCTTTACAGACTGAGAAACTAATTGTTTGCACAGTTAACACTCGGGCCTGCCACATAGCGACTAGCCGGCTCCGATGTTCTTGGAACGGTGTTGCGATTATGTACGTGACATTGTGGGTGCAGCGAAAGCCATCCCCTCCACCTGCGCTGCACCCGCGCGGAAACTAGGACCCCTCCTCCGGCGGT